AGCCCCCTCTCGACCAACCCCCCCAGGGCCTTTTCCGCCGGGCAGCTTTCCAGCCCCTCTGCCCCACGCCTGTAGCGTTGCATGGGGTAAAATAAAGTCCAAAGCTATTTTTTTAAAAGCCTCAAGATTTTAAAGCTATTTTACAGGCATCCTGGAGGCACAGGACTGCTAGCACTCCATTTGCAGATGGGATTTGCACAGCAGGGAATATCTGTATGCAGTCGAGGAGCTGCCATAATAATGTATATCCAGGAAGCCCGTGACAGAGCGAGAACTGGATTCCTGCTTCTCGCTCTCTGTCCCGAACCACCTGACACTGGAATTACCAGATAACATTGGTCATACTTAACTGATCTCTAACAGAGAAAAAGCACTTTCAGGGGTAGACATAAAGCCCACATGACATATTCTTTGAAATAAAGCTCTAACCGGGGGGGGGAAATACCTAATCTTAGACTGTCTAAAGCAAGGAGCTGAACCAGCAGTTCTTCAGTTCTTGTTCAGGCTTCCCTGTGACTGAGGCTGTTCTGCTTCAAGACAGTAAGAGCTTGATAATCCCAGGGAGGTTCACGTCATGTCAGAAGGGACCTCGTAACGGGGACACATCTGCGCTTTGGGACTTCAGCCAGGGTGAAGCTTTAGCCCTCCCTCTACCTTGGTGTTGATGTTCCCACGTGGTTACTTCTCCTGACAGGGGACAGCACCACAGTGCTGCTGCTGCTTCTCTTAATTCTTGCAGGCTGGTCTGCGAGACCAAAGAGTTAGGGAGAAGCTGGGACGCTGCACTGGCACCTGGAGCACCAGCACTGCGGAAGAGGAGCAGAAGGAGGTGCTCAAAGGAAACGATCAGCATCCACGCTACCTCCGTGTCCAGTTGTGCATGGAAATGTATGCACATCTGTCCACTGATGTCTATATACCAGTGCAACCCTGGGCAAAACCTTCGGCTGATGGCCATCCCCACGGCCAACTGGGAAGAGAGCCAGAGATTCGGCCCCTTACCACCAAGTGCTCACCCTCAAACTGGGGGGAAAGCCTCCACCCCCTCTCGGGTCTGCAGAAGAGCCTTGCCTTGCCTGCACAGCCTGGGGAGGGAAGGTGAAGCTGCACCGATGTCCTGTGGAGCCTGGCAGATGCAAACGTCTCTGCTCCTCCAGCTAGCGGATGGTATTTTTCAACCCATTACTCATTTTGAGCACTTCAGGGTGCGAGCTCCAAAGGCTTCAAAAGAAAAGCTCAGATTTGGTTCCAGTCTGACAGAGGAAAAGGAAAACCCAACTGGTTCAAAACAAGTTGGGTTTTTTTTTTAGTTTGGGTGTAATTTGACTCTTTGGTTTTAAAAAGCAAGTGGAAGATTATCATACTTGTCCTGAACACATCCTAACTATGAATGGGAAGCAAATGCGGTGTTCTACGGCCAGGCATGGCTAGGAAGCAGATTCGGTACCTGAAAGTGTACCTGTGTGAGAACAAGGCTTCAGAGTGAAGGCTGAAACACAGCCAGCGGCTACCTGACTTAAAAACAAAGAATAAAATCAGAAATGCAATTTCAGAAAGCCACAAACCTGACACTAGAAGCACACGGAGGCCCCAGATGTTCACACCCGAGTAAAGATGCTGCCTGCAGCTGGATCACAGCATGGCAGCAGGGGAGCATTCTGATGTTAGCTCCATAGTTTGGGTGTGATTTGACTCTTTGGTTTTAAAAAGCAAGTGGAAGATTATCATACTTGTCCTGAACACATCCTAACTATGAATGGGAAGCAAATGCGGTGTTCTACGGCCAGGCATGGCTAGGAAGCAGATTCGGTACCTGAAAGTGTACCTGTGTGAGAACAAGGCTTCAGAGTGAAGGCTGAAACACAGCCAGCGGCTACCTGACTTAAAAACAAAGAATAAAATCAGAAATGCAATTTCAGAAAGCCACAAACCTGACACTAGAAGCACACGGAGGCCCCAGATGTTCACACCCGAGTAAAGATGCTGCCTGCAGCTGGATCACAGCATGGCAGCAGGGGAGCATTCTGATGTTAGCTCCAAAAAAAGGGACAGCAAAACGAGCGGTTGCTTTCACAGCAGACGCTGCAGGATCTGAGGGCTCGTAAGGCTTGTCAGGCTATCACCTACCTTCATTTAAATCCCTTCACAAAACTCCTTCATAAGCAGGAGGCATGGAAAAATCCTATGGGAGAAATTTCAAGATGTTCACATCTCAGAAGAAAGACACGGCACAAACTTAACTTTTTTTCCTCCCTGCCTTAATTCCTTCTGCTGCTACTGTCAGCCTCATTTACATCACGTCCAATTTTAGCCTGCAACATCTTCTGGGTAGCTAGCTTGTCTCTTTGAATACTGCTCTGAAGTTTACAGCACACTTTGGGTATTACAAACATAAATAATCAAGTAATACAGTAAAAAAGATTTGTTGCTACTGCAAGAGGAGCACCAGTTTGAGACTACATGATCTCTTCAAGGGGAATAATGTTTCTGCATCTAATCTGTGTTTTCTATTGTAAGGAGGAAAAAAATTAACCTCCCCTTCCTAAACCCTAAAATCAGAAACTATTCAGACCAAGATCCGCAACACTGCAGCCGAGGGAGGTTGGAAGAGGCTCAGCAGATGATGCACATCAACTCCCCGAAGGCACGCAGCCGACGCCGCAGCGGCTTGCCTTTCCAATAGGTAGGGCTGCATCCAACAGAGCAGCGAGTCCCAGACTGCAGGTCCCCACCCCCCCAACATAAATTCTAAAATAATGGTAATGCTGCACACCACGAGCCCGGCAGAAGCAGGATTCGCAAGCAGCAAAATCCAGGGACACCTCGCTGCACATCAGTTCCTTCCTCTTCCTCTTGAAGGAAGAGTCGTAGCAAAGACCAGTGAGTCAGCGCGGCTGTTTCCAGCTCTGACTAGCTCAGCCTCTGCCTTGGAGGAAGGAATTCTGGCCCTCACTCTCCCCAAAATACCAGTGCTGCCTGACTGTACTCAGAGTCAACATCCCCCGGTCCCAGAGAGCTCCTTCTGGGGCCCAGGAGCGGAAGGCAGTTGCAGCAGTTTGTATTCAGGAAGTGGTTTTAGTCCTGGAGCTTGCAAAACCTTCAAAAGTTTTGCTCTAGCAGGGACAGAGCATGGTGAATAACTTAGTTTTGTGCTAAATGGGTGAAATCTCTAGGTGTTCGAGAGGGCTGTAGTCGCTGCTGCACACCACTTTGAAGTCAGTGATGGTGCACTCTTAGGTGGTCTTGGTTAAGTGGGGAGAGGTCAGGAGGAGCTACCTGATTTTCACAAACACTGCAAAACCAGGAAAAGGACAAAAAAATGGGACGGTTAATCCACAAATCTCCCTAAACTCACTCTGATTTAGCTCACTAGCGAAGTATGAAGATACACTAAATGCACAACACGTCCTAAGACTTTAAAGCCTCGGTGATAACCCATTATTCTTCTGTTTGTGAAAGATTTGAGCAAATTGTGGACTCAAGCCAACAATTCTCCAGATGATACATCAGCAATACATACACCGGTTGGCAGAAATGGCCAGATTTCATTTAAGTCATCCAGGGGGAGGAAATGAAGGCAAATGAAGGACCATTATGGGGGAAGAGAGGGAAATGAAGATAGGACATTACCAAGCGTGCGTATGTACTTCAGGTAGAAGCCCTGCTGAAACTACTCAACGGCTTCTCCCTAAAAGGATTCAGCTCCCACACCAACAGCCTATTTCCCTTACTAACAGCTCCTTTTCCTTCTGAAATTACTACACCTCAGCATCCACAGAGCATGGCAGGAGGAGCAGGAACGCCTCAAGAGCACGATACTTTCCATAATTCTTGAAGTTTATCCATAAAGCTCTGTCATTTCAAAACCGAAAGCTGAGCGCATTTGCAGAAGGCGGCCCAGGAATTTTTCATTAGCACACTTTCCCCTAAAAACATTCGCTCAAGAACCTAATCTGCTGTTCTAAAGAAAAACCACCAAATTCTTAGGGAGGGTAAGGATAACATCACCTCAGATGCGACGTTAGGTTGCAGGGTTAGGTTAACGGTTGGACTTGATGATCTTAAAGGTCTTTTCCAATCGAAACGATTCTAGGATTCTACTCTTTAGAAATTATTAATATACATATATCAGTGAAAATCGGAGTGTTTTCAATTGCAGTCATCTGTATTCTGAAGTTTAATGAAAGATGCCAAACACACCGCTCTGAAGATACACCCTCTTCCACCCAGAGATACAGAGACAATGGTTCCCACTGCCTTGTGGAAAAAAAAAAATAATAATAATAAAAATACCCCTAGGTCCTTAGTTTCAGCTACCAGACTGCCAAATGCCGCGAGGAGCTGCAAAACAAACACCTGACCGCTTAAACCTGAGCCGAGATCAAAGCCACTCTACAAACAACTTCCTTTAAACTAGGGAGGAGACAAGACCGGGCTTATCAGCAGGCTTTTGGGGTAGGCTCTGCTCCACCTGACGACTCTGCCATATCCAGCGCTACTTCCCCGGCAAAGCAGCCACCGGGAGGAGCGCAGCTTCTGTCAGGACGGCTGGGCTAAAAGCGGCCACGCTGGCAAAAAGAGGAGGGAAAAAAAAAAAAAAAAAAAAAACTGAGGCCTCGCCATCACCCAGCGCTACTTCCCCGGCAAAGCAGCCACCGGGAGGAGCGCAGCTTCTGTCAGGACGGCTGGGCTAAAAGCGGCCACGCTGGCAAAAAGAGGAGGGAA